GTACATCCATCTGTACATCCATCCATCTGTACATCCATCCATCCATCCATCCGTACATCCATCCATCTGTACATCCATCTGTACATCCATCTATACATCCATCCATCCGTATATCCGTCCGTCCGTCCGTCTGTACATCCATCTGTACATCCATCCATCTGTACATCCATCCATCCATCCATCCGTACATCCATCCATCTGTACATCCATCTGTACATCCATCTATACATCCATCCATCCGTATATCCGTCCGTCCGTCCGTCTGTACATCCATCTGTACATCCATCCATCTGTACATCCATCCATCCATCCATCTGTACATCCATCTGTACATCCATCCGTCTGTACATCCATCCATCTGTACATCCATCTGTACATCCATCTGTACATCCATCTATACATCCATCCATCCGTATATCCGTCCGTCCGTCCGTCTGTACATCCATCCATCTGTACATCCATCCATCCATCTGTACATCCATCCATCTGTACATCCGTCCATCCATCCATCTGTACATCCATCCATCTGTACATCCATCCATCCATCCATCCGTCCATACATCCATCTGTACATCCATCTGTACATCCATCTATACATCCATCCATCCGTATATCCGTCCGTCCGTCTGTCTGTACATCCATCTGTACATCCATCCATCTGTACATCCATCCATCCATCCGTCCGTCCGTCCGTCTGTACATCCATCTGTACATCCATCCATCCATCCGTACATCCATCCATCTGTACATCCATCCATCCGTCCATCCAACTATCTCATTCGGTGTAAAACTTCAGTTAACTGATTTAATCCATTTTCCTTTGAATGTCTCGTTTTCTGTTCATGAAACCTTTAATCTTTCATCTTTTCCCAGTAATGCAGCTCAATATTTAACTTTCACTTTGAAGCTAAATATTCCTGGTTCTGGTAAAAGACATTTATGTTACTAACTAAATGTTTAGTTTGAAGGTAAATATTTAGCTTTAAAGCCTCCGCCCCTCTGTCCCCTCCGCCCCTCTGTCCCCNATCCATCCTTACGTATGTCCGTCCGTCCGTCTGTCTGTACATCCATCTGTACATCCATCCATCTGTACATCCATCCATCCATCCATCCATCTGTACATCCATCCATCTGTACATCCATCCATCCATCCATCTGTACATCCATCCATCCATACATCCATCCATCTGTACATCCATCCATCCATCCATCCGTACATCCATCCATCTGTACATCCATCTGTACATCCATCTGTACATCCATCTATACATCCATCCATCCGTATATCCGTCCGTCCGTCCGTCTGTACATCCATCCATCTGTACATCCATCCATCCGTCCGTCCGTCTGTACATCCATCCATCCGTCCATCCATCCATCTGTACATCCATCCATCTGTACATCCATCCATCCATCCATCCGTACATCCATCCATCTGTACATCCATCTATACATCCATCCGTCCATCCATCCATCCATCCATCCATCCATCCATCCATCCATCCATC